GTACCAGAACCTCTAAGACACAATGTATAACCTTCAGTGACATTCCATGCCCAGCCTCCAATGCCAGGCTCCTGGGCTGTCTGTCATCTCCTCAACTAGCACCCCACCTGGGGGCCAAGAAGTCAACACAGGGCTGTGGTGGGGGGGTATCTCATAGTCAAACTGCAGCATCCGTATGCCCCGACGTTATTTTAATTGAGAAGCTCATTGTGTATTTTCAGAGGGGGAAAAAAATAATTGTTAATATGGACAAAGCAAGCAATTCTGAGATGGTTTAAAATTGGCTTCAAATGAAATACTACAGTAGTGTCTTCCTTTCCTTAAGTTACTGAATTTTGTTGGATACTGAATATTTCTTGGATAAGTGACTGGGAATGCATCAAGAGCAGAGCGAAGGGGGAACATTTGAAATTTTGCTGTTGTGCTGGCTCTACAAATGAAAATAACATCGACTGGACTCAGCTGTCTCCTTGTACGTACAAACAAAACAACCCCCATCCCCATGCTCCGTTTCTTTTCTCTCCAAGAGAAATTGTGCTCCCAGGGCTGTGGACAGCTGGCCAGCATCTTTCTCCCCCCCCCCCCACCAGTCACATGCATGCCGGGCTCTGCAGATTATTACCAATGCCAACATCTGGCTCTGCTTGCTTGCATTAAACAGAGCTTCATTCCCCTCTGTTTCCAGAAACAGGAAATACCATGTGCTTTCCAGTGGAATTCGGGATTAAATATTTCTAAAAGCAACTGTTGGTTTTACAAGACATCTTGGAGTGTTGGTTTACTTTACAGCTCTTTTGCCCGTGGGAATTCTTTCTATGTGGATTGCTGTGAAATTTCCAAGGCTTCTTGTTCTTCTTATAAGGCTAGTCTTGTAACTTTTATTTACCCCTAGAGGGTTATGGGAGAGATTCCACTGAAGGCCTGACCACTAGCTACCAAGTAACACTTCAAATGCCAGTTTGGATACCTATTCAAAATAGTAGGGACTTTTTTTGGTCATTGTTCTGCTTTGGTCAGTGTCAGGAGGCTCAAACCCAGGGGCCTTGTACATAGTCAGCAACACTAAGCTACATCCCTCCACCGAGATTGGAGTATTGACCACCTCCAAGCGTATGGGACTAGATCAAGAACCTCACTCAAGCAGAAGAGAGCCATACAAACAATGCATGCCCTTCTGTTTCTAAAACATGACCCTGGCCGCATGCTACCATCTCTCCCTGCCATCTTTTGTCCCTGTGTAACAGGAGCTGAACTGCACTGCAGAAATGGTTCTTCTGCTGAGGGTAGAAGGAACTGTTCACTGGAAAAGGTAAGAGGTGAGGCCTGAGGAAGATGTGTAACGGGGTAAGAAATGACAGAAATGAATTATTCACTAGAAATTGGTTATAGTTTCAGGCGATGGAGACCACATGCGTGCTCCCCTGGGACCTGAAGTGCTCATTCACTGTGTAAATCAGACATGATGAACAGGGACATACTTTCAGCACCTGGGAGGTGGAGGCAGACTGAGCCGAAGTTACAGGTCACCTTTGAATAAATGCACAGAGCACATAAGGCCAGCCTGAACCCCTCACTTCTGACCCTTGGTTTAGTGTGTTATACTGAAGTGATAGATGGCAGAATAGAACCTAAGCCTAGAACTACTCTGCCCATTACCTTTGCAGCCACAGATCTTGAATGATTGACCCCAGGAGAGGAACCTGGGGATCTCTGAGGTCAGGGTGAGTTGGGGAAGCAGGGATAGACGTAACATAAAGACAATTATGAAGGCACTCTCTGTCTTCACCTTCATTAAAATTGTCTCCCGATGTCCTAAGTTTTCTTCCTCCCAACAACAACAAAAACAAAAAAAAAAACCTATCAAATCCTCAAGACCCTCCTTTTACTCTGCAGCACAGGGTATGGCCACCACACTCCCTTAGCGGGTTTTTTCCTGACCTCTCCACATCTTTTCAGCATACCCTCCTGCTTTCAGCTATAGGCCTACAGTCAAAATAAACGACTTTAGATCTGAACATTTGTCATACTGGAGTCCCATATGTTCCCTATGCTATGGCAAAAGCACTGCCCTTTTCAAAAGGTTGCACACATTTCTTAGGAAACAAGACAGACTACTAACTTGAGTCCAACCAGGCATTCGGCTCTACTTTGCAGAAACACTGGCCACCGCTGTGTGTGTTCAAAGCCTGCAAACTTGACAATCAATCGTGTCCAAAAGTCAGGTGTAGAGCTTTCTAGCGAGCTTTTTACCAAGTGGCATTTAAGTTCTTTGTTTACAACTCTGTCTCAGCCTCCCCAGTCACCAAGAGTCCCCCAGTTCTCTTATCTGGATTGTCTCTGTGGAGTAGGCAGAATTGGAGATTTCCATGTCCAAGAATCCCTTTGAGTGTAAAAGGATGAAGAAATGTAATTAAGAAAAAGTGAAGAATCTTTCAGCCAAGATTCCTTAGCTTGATGATCATCTTGTGGTTCTTATCAGAAATAGTTTAATTTGAAAGAAAGAAGGAAATCTATCCTGGGTACAGCTTCTTGGAGGAGGAAAGAATAGAATTGTGCAGTTGCTAGTGTTTGTAATTGAAAACTTCATGAGTGGCACTTTTAGGGTGATTGGATGAAGACATTCTCAAAGAGCAATATGGCTCTGCTGGCCACAATGAATACAAATCTCAGACACAGGCAGGGTATGTATCTGTTATTCTCACTGCTCAACAACAGCTGATAACTGATGGGGGGAGGTGTCCTTCTGTACATGTGTTTCTTTTATTGGTTGATGAATAAAACACTGATTGACTGGTAGCTAGGCAGGAAGTACAGGTAGGGCATGGAGAATTCTGGGGAGAAGACTCAGAGAGGAGCTACCAGGGAAATGCCATGTACCTACTGGGAAGACAGGATGTCAGGAATTCTCCTTTTTTATGAACCCCTCCATTTGGTTTATTTTATAATCAAAAGAGTATAGTTATAGTAGGGACAGGTTGACCTCTGTAGTGGAATAGATAAATAGCGTACACTTTGTAGGCAGACTTTTCTGTCCTGCCAGTGAGCTCCCAAATAACCACACAGAGACTTCTCATGAATGATAAAAGCTCAGCAAACAGCTTAGGCTTGTTTCTAAGTAGCGCTTATGACTTAACCCGTTTCTGTTCATTTACTTTCTGCCTCCTGGCTTCATTACCTCTATCCCATCTGGCTGGCTTTCCCGAATGTCCCCTGATGACTGTGCCCTTCTTCGTCCCTGTGCTGTCTTCCTGTCCACTAATCCCAGCCATCCTCTTCCTGCCTAGCTGAGGGCCGTTTATGTCTTTACTAAACCAACGAGAGTAATACATCGCAGTGTGCACAAAGATTGTTGCACACCTAGACTTGCTTCTGAAACTTTTCAGACTAGGAGTGAAGTCTATACATTAACTACAAGAATTGTCTTTGAAAAACATTTGAGTTCTCATTGGATGGTTGCAGATCCTGAAAGGAACAGTTTGGAAATGAAAAACTTATCCCCAGTGAGCTTCTAGCCGTCTTCTCTGAGACCGGTGGCCAAGCCGGAGGATCCTGTTTTCTTAGCCCCAAGTACCTTTCCAAGACGAAGGTTGAGTCCAAAAATCTCCCACACACTCTTCTCTGCAACACATTAACATTCCCTTCTCCTTCATAATGAGCCCTTTCTATACAGGCAACTTCATGCTCCCTTTAAACGTGAAACATATGGATCCAATAAAGTGAATGTGTGTATGTTCAATATCACTAGTGCTGTTTTTCCTGTTTAAAAAAAAAAAAACTTAAGAAATGCGCGCAGGAAAAAAAAAAAGGGCTACTCAAAGGACATCTGGTCTGATTATATGTTACTACAATGTCAATCTTCAATCCCAGGGTGCGGGTGTAACAACCTAAAATTCGAAGCCAACAAAACCCCTAGTCCGATTTACCTACAGATTGTTACAGGGAGATTCCAGGGCGCCCACGCCCATCCGCTGTGCCTAGTGGCTGAACCAGAACCAATGTGGGAATTTGTTCACTTGAGCTAAGAGCTCTTCCTGCTGATTCTCCAGCTGACCAACACTTGAGAAGATGCTCCTGGCTCACCCCCTTCTGCTTGGCAAAGATGCAAGATGCGGGGCGAGAGGGGCTTGTGGCACTGGTGTCCTTTTGGACCCTGTTGGAATGGGGATTCTCCCATCCTCCAGACTCTCCGAGTCTTCATGGGCAGCTCTGTTATCACCAAAAACAACCAGTAGATTCCGTCTCACTAGCTGCCTGAGGAGCTTTGAGCAATGTTATTTACAACCTGCAAACCTGGGCCGCACCTCTCCAGTCTCCTCGAGTGCTTATTTTGGGGGTGCGGCCCGGGACAAAGGGCTCTTACAAGCTCCTCAAATTCTTACTTGTAGGTAAGGTCAAGGTGAAAGATGGTGTCCCACAAACTCTTGTTTTTTGGCGGGGGTGTGTGTGTGTGGTTTTGCAATCACCTGAGTTAAACCTGGCCTTTGTGGCTGTCCCGGGACCCTGAGACAGTCCGGACACCCTGCCTTTTTCAGGGACAACGGGCTCAGGACGCATACTGCAGTCACAGACCTTTAGGCTCTATGAGCCCCTTTTGCTTGCGAGCCTCCAGCACCGGGCCCTGCAGCGAGCGGGGTGGGGCCACGTTAGCCCCGCGCCCCCGGGACCCCGCCCCACCCTGCTCGCTCCGCCCAGCCCCTCCCGTCGGCCCCGCCCCCGTGACGTGCCGCAGCAGCCGCGAACATGCGCACTGGCTCCCGCGCGCCGCTCCTCGGCGCTGTCATTCTCCGCGGCGCGGCGGCCGGTGCAGACTGCGGTCCGGGTCCCTGCCCCGGCGGGCGGCGCTGGGCGCTGGGACTGCCTGCTCCTCCCGGGCGCACCGGCGGCTCTGCAGCGCGTCCGCGCCTGTCCTGCGGGCCATCCCGAGGCGTCGCATTCCGTGGGAGCTGGAGACACGCACCTGGGGCTCCGAGCGCAGCTCTCGGGGGTCGGGGTGGGGGGGAGCTGGCGGCCGTTGCTGCGCTTGCTCCGCTCCTCGGCGCGGTCCGGCTCGCCGCGGCCGCCCGGGAGAGTGCGCCGTCCCCGGGCGCGGCAGAGCTCAGAGCGACAAGGAGCGGGAGGATCCTGCACCCGCGGCTGCCACCGGCCACAGAGGGCCAGCCCGGATGCGTGCGGCGGAGTTGCAGCGCTTCTCAACGCGCTGAAGCCCCAGAAGACCCCCTGCCTCCCGAGAGCCAGTAAGTTGACTGTAGTTTCTGAAGTTGCAGGCAGCGTGGGAAGGGCAGGTTCGTTTTATTCCTGTCGTGCCAGGCCCCGGGGTGGCACGTCCTGTTAGCCGGGCTGCAGCTGGAGGAGCGACTACTGGGCTGCAAAGGAGGTGTGTGTGTGTGTGTGTGTGTGTGTGTGTGTGTGTGTGTGTGTGTGTGTGTGTGTGTGTGTGGTGGCACTCGAGGACTTAAGGCTGGGGTCCAGGGCTGGCTCCTGCCTCTGCTGAATGCGCCAGTTGGAAATGTGCTAGGAGAGACAGGTGCTCTGAGGGCATTTGGCCCGCCGCTAATTGCACATTTTGAGCTCCTCGATTCTGCGCGGCGTGGGGTCAGGGGCATCCGCCACCTCCATCCTCGGGAGCTCTGCTGACATGCCCTCTGAGGACTGGTACAGAGATGAGAGGCCGAGACGTTGCTGCTCAGGCCTGCAGGCTTTTTTTCCTGTGCATCCCACTTCCCTCTCCCTCTAGGCAGAAGTTGGCAACCTCCCATAATTGGAGCCCAGTCCTTCGGGGAAAAACAACTTCTGTGTCATCTGAGTGTTTCGTGCTCTGAGACAGAGAGAATGAGAAGAACGATCTGTGCGCTTTTATGTCTATGCTTTAGGACTGGGGCCAAGTCTCAAAGAAAGATTCGGATGGTGGCTGAGTTGCCCGGCATCTCTTATGTAAGCCTCCTGGCTGGGTAACTTTGCATCCGCAGGGGCAGCTGTAACCCCACACTATTTGTTTCAAGTCCAGCTTGAACCGTAGTTGATGAAATTTTGACATGACATAGCGGCTTGTACTCAGAAACAGAGCGGTCTTTAAATCGAGCGTCTTCTCCTAACGGGGAACACGGCAGGAAGAAATGGGTGTATTTTTTTTTTCAGGGCATTTCAAGGGATTAGATACATAAATCATGCTTTGAAATGCCATACACTGTACAGAGAGCATGCACGGGACCCCTTTAGAACGTTTCAGGGAGAGTGGAGACTGTCGGTGACAGACAATTGTTGAGTCTGAAAGTTAAGTGCACTGATGGGCTTAATTATCCTAATAAACAAAGAGCATGATTTATAGGTAGCTGCAGTGGCCTACTTTGAAGGGAAGAAATCTTTAACCTTTCCTTCTCAGCTGCCCCCTAGAGATTCTTTTAAAGCAGAGCAATGGATTAATGCCATTGATGTTAATACTTGAGCTGATGAAATTGTAAAAGGAATTCTTTGAAATACCATACAGCCCTGCTGTGTGGCTGATAGGCAGTGGATATCATAAAGAAAGATAATATTTAGAGTACTGACCATAGGAGGCCTTGCATTAGCTTTGCATTGCAGCTACCCTGTGAAAGGTGTGCATCACAGACAGAAAGAAATCTGCACAGAGAAAAATACATATAAGGATGTGGATTTGAAATTTAAAAGAAACCCAGGGATATGAGTCAATGTAAGTTTTGTTTAGGTGACCCCTAGAAAGAGGTGTGCATATATTAGGGTGTTTTAGTGAATAAAACAAGATGAATTAACTAGTGACAGGTACCTACCAGATTTAAACATAGTTTTTTTTTTTTAATAAGAATTCTGAGAAAAAAGTATTGTTTTCAAAGTTCAAAAGAAGGTGGACACATTGAGTTTATAAGAGCATTGGATGAGTACCTCTAGAAGAAATTGTAGCCAAGTGTGGGGCATCAAACAGGCTGGATTGCTGTGTCAAGGAGCCAGGATGCTGACTTTGTTGCTGGTGCCCAATCTGAGCAAGTATGACAGTTCTGAGCCTCAGTATCTCCATCTGTAAAACTGGTGGGTGTAACCATAGTGCCTCCCTCTTTGGGCGCCGTGAGGACTAAGTGGAATCCTGCATATGAAGGTATTGAGCTGGTGTGAAATATATTAGGCTGGCTTTGGGGGGAAAAATGTTCATTGCTGTGAGAGGAAATTTGTCTTGGGGATAAGCTGTAGACATTAAACAGCTGTCGCTGGAGGTCAATAGAAGCAGTCCACAACTGTAATAGGAGGAAGGATATAAACACACGGACCACATGCTAATGCCCTGATATCGGACTTACTGTCTCCATCAGCACCTCCCGAAGGCCTTTGAGGGTGTTAGAGAGGAGGAAACTGAGGCTGAGATCAAATAATTGGAGCTAACATTTTAAAACACGCCTGTTAGAAACTGTATTCTCTGACCCAGCTGCCTCAACTTGCAAACGAAGTAGATGGGTTATTATCCTCTTTCTCCTTGGGAAGTTTATGTTTAAAAAGTATACAAATGGCTAGCCAGAACTCATAGCATGTTTCTCCAAGATGGGAAGCTAATAACCAGGCCCTTTAGTGCTGGTGTGAGAGAGGTAGCGGCTTTTTTTTTTTTTTTTTTTTTTTTTTTGCCTTCAGTCCATGGGAGAATTCCACTCAGGCAGAAGTGGGGCCTTGTGCTTAGCTGCCTGGACTCAGTGTTCTGAAATGGGTTTCTCCTTGGGTTCAAAGCCATGGGAAGATGTTGTGGGGAATCCATACGAGCCCATCTTGGTTTGAAATACCTGTGGACTGCTAGGCTTTGCTAGGAGTTCTAGGTCTATAGTGACTGGGTGCCCATGGTACTTCGGTGGCTTTCTTAGGTTCACCTACAGTGGCTGTGCTCTGGCTTTTGGTCTGTGTCTTCTAGATACTAAAATGTAACTGCTATAAAAAGCTCCTAGGCAGTGGACAACCCCAGGTGATTTTAAAGTTTAATGAGGCCTAGCTGATATATCTACCACTGAAAGGTACTTCAAGCTAGATGTTCAGCACTCACTGGCTCCTTCTCCCTCCCCCCACCTTTGTCTCAAGCTTCCCAAGATTGCGTTCCAGTAGGCAGCCTCTGTGAGCCTGGAGACACAATGCCACAGCTGCAGTGTGCCAAAAAAGAACTCTTGCCACCAACCGAGTCATCTCTCTGACTCCTCTGCTGCTGGCTCAGCCTCCTTCTCAGAGGGTATTCACACAACCTTTGCCTGAGTCTGTAGCTATCTTTCAAGTGCTCCCTGTTCTGAGTTTTCTGGTCAAATGTCTCCAAGGAGCATGTCTATAACTTGAGCTAAGTCTGTGAACATAATTTGCCTATGGTTGTTTTATTTCCTGTCTGTGTGATTTTAGTGGATTTTCTGTTGCCACTTTGAAATCTACAAGTTTCCCCCCAGACACCAGGCTTTCCTATGTTGGCAGAAGGTCCATGTAGAGCATACAGCAGCCCTACCATACCCTTCATCTGCCCATTCAACTTCTGAGGCCAAACAAGCTTGGGCCTGGTTAGTACCCGAATGGGAGAGGGTCTGTGTGCTAAGTATGCAGAACAATTTTAATATGGATGCAAGTGAATGGAGACCATTTATTCTTCTCTACTCTCCCTTTGACTTTCGCTTTGTGTTTGAGGAGCTGGTAGTTGAGGCTGATCTTACCTCATGCACTCTATCTGGTGTTTTGGGAGTTATGCACATGTATGGTTATACAGGTAAGCATTCCCATGTGCAGTGTGGCACAGATCACACCTCAAGGCCGCGGTCTTTGCAGAATTCAAGGCCACGGGGCGGCTTGGAGAGAAGACCAGTTTCCTAGTCACTACTGGTCATCCTTTCTGATAAGGGTTGGTGTGGATAGCCAGCTGGGAGCACTCACTCAGTGTTGGCTTTGATGGCAACATTACGTACAGTGCCTCCCCACCCCCCAATAACCTTCTGGGTAGTCTCTGGCTTTTAGTCCTTTACAGGAGCAGAAGTGGGCCTAGAAACACTGTATTAGTAGGGTTTGTGAGAAACAGTAGAGCTCAGAACTTTTTGGTGCTCCTTCCAGAATCTCCTCCTGAGCCATTGTGGTAAGCTACATAGCAGAGATGTGCCTATGCTTTGCAGACCCTTCCTTCTTGCCTGCGGCCGAGATTGGCTAAATAAGAAATCTATCTCTGTATCTTTGTCGTAATCCACGCTAGATCTCAGAAACCACATTTCACTTTGCAAAAAAAAAAAAAAAAAAAGAGCAAAAACCACATGTTACTTTGTAAGACAAGTGAGGGCTTCCGGTGACATGGCACGCTTGCTTCACCTGTGTTTGGGGCCAGACGTTTGCATCACTGTCGTTAAAGAAAGGAGAAGTGGAGAGGCCTAAGATTTTTCTCAAATGATTTTTGTTTGTTTGTCTGTGTAAGTCTAAACATGTCTGAGTTACACCAACAGTTTCAATCATTCATGGCAGGACCATGGCTTTTTAAAGGGAACGCATCCACATACCTAACAAGTAAGGTTCAAGTGCGTCCATCCTCTCAGGATAGGAACATTGCATGCAATCTCCTATATCTGAGGTGTAGCCTTCCTGACTCCAGTGCAGAGAGACAACAGAGAGTCTGGAACCACTGTCCTGCTAGATCCTCAAAACCCTACCAGAGAGAAAAGCCTCTCTGGGGCAGGGGCAGGGGGTGGGGAGCATGGGATGAGATGGGACGGGGCTCAGGGCAGAACTCAAGGCCGAAAACACCAATCGTAGCACATGCTAGGCAAGCAGTGCCCTGTATCCTCAGCCCCCACCCCGCCCCTTGATTTCACCCTGGAACCAACATCTTCTCACTTGGAATTTAAAGGTTGGTAGTATCGCCGGAACACGCAGGTTCCTCTCTAGATGGCTCCTCTCTAGACTGCAAGACTGAGTGATTTTCAATCCAGCAAGGGATTAAAAACTTCTTTCAGAACTGTTTTCTCTTTTTTTTTTAAACATAGATTGCCAAGGGACAGGACATTTGAGCTACATGTGGCCTTCATTAGGATACAGAGTGCTTGGGCCCCTGTGAACTTTACAGAGTTGGCCTTTAAAGTCGTAGGCAGCTTTATTCTGCCTGCTCTGGCTTCTCAGGCCTCCAGGTGGCCCAGCACAGCACAGTGTATCGGCCCTATACCTGCTTTGCCTGACTCCCTCCAAGTACCAAAAGTATGACTGCACAGCACGAACTCGCCTGCCGCCTTGCCTAGCC